TTATCTATGAGTTATTGTTTTGTGATGAATAAAACGCAAAAGATGAGACACAGTAGTCGACATGACTCTAAAAGTTTTTCCCATGTGGAGATCCTGCGATAGCTATCAACTATAAATCTTAGAAATTTAATTTTGAATAATCAAACACTTAAATAAATTTCAAATGAAAATGGCAAACAGTAATTCTGGGCTTGAGTATACTCTGACTCTGACTCATATACACCCAGCCTAGATGATTGCTTGACTTCTTTTGAAAACCCTTTTAAAATATTCATAATAATTCACTTTAAATCATTTACCATTATTTAAATTTTTTAAAATTCAGAAGGTATGTTAACAAAGTTATAAATAATTATCAGAATAAATACTGCAAAGGATGTGGAATTTTTTAATACACACATGAACATACACAAACAGAAACACAAACAACATTAAATAAAAGTGAACAAATAAATGTTTATCTCTTTAACACAAATAGCTGACAAGATAATGCACATAAAACAGACTTAAAAGCCTTTTAAGGTACAGACTAAATATAGTTATAAATTCAAAAATGCATTGTAATTTTAAAAGAGCCCCAAATAAAGATGACAGCTGCACACTGATCATCCACATTGACCCTCATGGAGAACTAAGGCACATATTTGCAAGAAGGATGTGCAAAGATCAATGTGCTGTCTATTATCTAAAAATCATGTAAAATTAACTGTTACATGTGATTTTAAGCCAAGGAAAAGACGTCAGGAAAGCTATTCTAATTAGTTGAGATAACCAGCCAAACAAGTTCTAATCTGGAGGTTGAAGGAGAGAAGGCAGAGGCAGAATAAGAACATAAAGCTCATAATACTGCAGACTTCCATTTTCTGCACAGTAGTTTCAAGAAACTTGCAAGTTATTTTCATAAGGCTATTTCCTTCAAAATCTGAAAATTTACACAAAGTGCTTTGGATAGGTATCAAATATATCAAAAAGCTTAAATCATAAAATTCCATAAGCCAATAGAATTTTAATACTATAGAATGCTTGACCATTGGATACTAAGAAAGCATATTACTAATAAAAAAAACTACTAAATTGTACCAAGAGTCAAATGAATAAAAATAAAGAGAATAAATTAAAATATGCATCCATTAATTTATAATTGATTTTGATCCTGATGCTTACCAAATGGTTTTTCTTGCCTATTAAAATTGACAACGTAATGGCTGATAATTAAAATACAATGGCTATAATAGCAACATTCTTAATATGAACATGTTTTCTTCTATTTTGGGGAAGTTCACTAAAAGTAAAACTTTCCCACAAACCTTTCTCATATGAGATCAACTACCTTCACTGAGTTCAGATGTGATTTGATGTAAAGGAAATCAACTAAACAATGGTAAATATGATATTAACTTTAACCACTTTTATTAATTTATTAATTCTGAGTTGGGTTGAGAAATTACCATCTTGTTTCTATAACTTTCATTGCACTTTGAATGGAACATTGCTATTTAGGAGGAGACACAAAATATTTTGTTAACTGAATTAACTCTTATCCAAAGAAACAGGTTTTAGATACATGTAAGATATGCAGGTGGCAGAGATTTAAATTACCAAACTGTGTTGTTTGTTAATGAGTTTACATTGGCTCTGAGAATATAGAAATATTGATTCAATGACCAATTCTTGGATGAGCACAATTTATACAATCTAAGAATGTTTTGTGAGTAAAATATGAACATGTATTTGAGAAGATCATTGAATGTTAGTAGACTTCAGTTCTAAATGAAAGTTTGAACATGTTCAGTTAAAAATTCTTGGATAGAAATATATAACTTTTAATTGTTACAGAGTAATCCAAGTAATCATGTTCTGTCTAAGTGACGGGGATCAAGAAAGTATGTGCTTTAAAGAAAATATAATATTTAATCTTCAAAAGAGAAACTTCAAGTTTAGCCCTTATGTTGATTATATACTTATTAAAGAATACATTCAATAAAATTGTATTACATGGAATCAATTAATAAATGAATTCATAAATGAAAGTTAACAGACTAGAACTGCTTTACTGATGTTTTGAAATGATGAAACCCATTTGCAACTAAATGCCAGATACTTCCTGCATCAAGTGGCATACCAAGGCACGAACCCAATTCTTTAAACCTTTATTTTAAAAAGAGAAAATGTTGTGTTGTCTTTAATAATCATATCAAATTTCCTTTTATCATTTCAGTGACACCATCTTAGTATCCACATATTCCTGTTGAGAAGACAGACAAAAGACAGGAGGGAGAAAAAGGGAAGATAAAGCTAGAATCTTGGTTTTTACTGTCTCCCAAGAGTTTAATCCACTCCCCCACATTCCAATTTACAGTAAAATGAAACTGCCACATTAACCTTAAAGGAAACAAAAAAAGAAAGAAAAATGACCAAATTCATTCAGTGAGTTCAGGCATATCCAATGAAGTAATGGTAAGTGTATGCGTATGCAAAAACGACTTTCTCTCTGAAATAGCAAAATTAACTTATACCTAATGGGACAAAAGGCAATTTAAAGAACAATCTAGAAGTACTTAAGAGTAGAAATAAAAAGAGAATTGGCTTGTGCTTATTGTAAAATGGTTTTAAAAAGGATTTCCAAAGAGCAAACAGTAAAAATAGAGTTCTCACTCTTCCTGTTTCATCAGAGTCTCCAGTTTCCTTCAGAAATTATAAATTGTGAGGCTTCTTAAGTACATGAAGGGATATAACAAATTTGGCAGGTACTGAATCAGAAGATGTGGGTGATACAGAAATAGAACTTAGCAGGAAATTTTTATTTCACTCAAGATATTCCTAGTCATTTATTACAGTTATTAAGAAGACTTTGAAACTCATCAACGCTGTCTTTGACAAAATGAAAGGCATTGCAAGTGCCCTCAAAGCAAAATCTCTCATGAAAGATAAGACAGAAATAGATGGGGTAACATAAAGAAAAAAAAGAAAAGCAACATGAATGAAACTTAGAAATGAGATATGATCTGAAGTCTAATATATGAAAAATGGCAGTTGTACTTAAGGGCAAGAAAAAAATGTAAAATGGTTAGACCAGAAGAAAATGAATAGAGACAGCACATAAAACACAAGCACAGATTCTTAATGATCCAGATCTACTCTAGGCACTTCCCTGTTTTCACTAGATCCAAGGGGATCTGTGTTGCTTTGGGTTTCAACGTCATCATGTTTATATAATACATTTGAACCTTCATGTACTTACAGTGCCATATGCCATGAATTGTTGTTTTGAAGTAGAAATGATGAAGTAAATTTACTGATTAGTGTCTAGTAAAATTTGCAGTGGCATGATTTAGCCAAAAGACCACATTAAATGACTTTTTCAAAATTTGATACAACTTTTGCAAACCATTTAATGCACCCCAAAATTTCACTCAAAGCTTCCTGATGATTCATTTATACTTACCCATTATTTGATGTTGGTCATTTAAAATAAACCAATTTTAAGTATAAGAACTCTTTGCTTATTTACTCTACTTCTAAGGGTATTTATATCTTTTTGGGAGTTCCTTCAATAATCTTATTGGAAGTTCATTCACAGAAAATTTGTGAAACTTAATCAACAAACTCTCCAAAGTTAATATTATGTTACTAGTAATATGTACATTACCAGTTAAAGCTGATAATATAGACCGATTTTGCAATTAATTGAATCTAAACATCTACTTATTTACCTTGAATTAAAGGAAAAAGTATAATTGCCTGAATTACACTTCCTTTTACATAACAGAAAACACATAATCATCAGAAAATACATTTAAATGCTCACAAGTACATTCCAAACTAAAAGTGATACTGGAGTTACTTGTTCACATTTGCTGGAAAAGTACCTCAAAGATGTGATGAGATAGAATGGAGTAAAAGGAAAAAAGTTACTTGTATTCTTAATTAATTTCCACTACATTTTTTCTTTTAAATACTATTGCATTAGAAGTCATTCTGTAAGTTTATTATATTGTTAATTCTTCTCTTCATTTGCTCTTGACAACCAACATATTTATACTATTGTTAGATCTGAGAGTGTGATTTCAAGCAGATACCTCAGTATACTCATGTTTTAAACATTCAATGTATTTAAATTCACAATATTTGAAAAGTTAATGTGCCATTTTGAAGAACTAAAATGCTTTAATAATTTTAGATTATATGTAGCTAAGATTGGCTAAATATTAAAATGATCAGCTTGGTTTAAAAAAAAAACTTTAAATGGCAAATATTGTAGTTTTCAGTAACATTCTTTCTGTAAAACAATAAGTGGACACATTGTTTGAAACAAATCATAGAATTTGTAAAGAAAGTCACCTTTCTGCTCTTTAATGAGAGTCACAGCAGATGAACTGACAACACACAGTAGGATGGCCAGTGATAGCAATGCATGGTATTTTATCAACAGTGTATCTATCATAAAATGAGTAATGCACTTAATAGCCATATTTCTACATATACCCAAAGCACTGAATAACTGCAGGGGTGAATTACCAGAATTGTTAAACATCTGACTTACAAAACAAATATCTATATCCTATTATATTTGTATTTAGCCAACATAAAAACTAAGATGTCCTCCTTCACTAGAAACAGTTGGGTTTGTTTGAGAATAATGCTAAATAAACTTTATTGGCTTATTGTTATTAGTTTGAAGTACTAGTAAGTAAAAATAAATAAAATAAAAATAAAGATCTTTGACTTTTTTTAAGAACATGTTTTATGTATGATTGAATTTTTACAACACTCCGAAAAAGCCATCCGATGTTAGATTTAAAAATAAAATCAAAAGCATTTTCTGACAGAGTACACTGAAAAATTGGAAATCCCAATATCTTCAATAGAAGTTGTAGAAAGTGTATGTCTCCTTGGAGCTTGACACCCACTTAACACAGCAGAAAATAAGGTACTATACTGTAAACAAAAAAGTACAGTAAAGGACAGTTGTAAATTTACATAAGAATAGTTCATAAACATTTTGGTCTTTCCATAACTGGTTTTATATAAAATGAATAAAAAAACCTTTAGACATCTGTCATCACTCTTGTTTGTCCACTTTTCACTTATATGCACACAGACATATTTATATAGCAGTATATTGATGCACCGTTACATGGATATTAGACTATAATTACTGTTTGTAACTGAGATGTGCATTATCCAATCAACATTATCCATAGTTGAAATACTCTTACATTATGTATTCTTCTCATGTTGTATCTATAAAAACATGAAAATATAACTTTACATTATTTCAATTATTTACATTAGTTCAAGCTTGACAGAGAAAAAATGATAAGCTCAATTTTTGGAACAGTAGGCCCAGAGGTACAATAAATAGCATTGATTGTATATAGTCATCTCTTTTCATTTTTAAAAACTCATTTTTAAGTACAATATGGAAATAATTAGTCTGCAATTTGGTCATTCTAGCATTTATTATGAAAACTTAAAATGCACCTCCAACATTCCTAGTGAGGAGAAATGCACTAAAAATTATGCTGTATTATTTTGGAATTTGTGATCAGGGACAGCAAAATTTAGTGAAGAATATCATGATTCCACATGCCACCATATTCAGTGCAGTGGTTACTGTTAAATCCTACACGTTCCTTTCCTTCAGTGAAATAAAAAAAAAAGTTTTAAAGGCAACTGGTAGAATACCAAGTGCCAAACAGAGGTTTGCTTGCAGAAATAACAAGAATATAAATATTAAAAGTAACTATTGGATGTAAATTATTGTTTACAACCCTAAATTGATTTAATTTGGATGGCTTTAGTGGAAATAAAAGGTATTTTATGAGGGGAAAATAGATTTTTAAAATTTATAAACTAGAGAAATATAAGCTCTTTAGTCACAGAAATGTGATATCTTATCCACACTGGGCATATTAAAATAGCCATTCCACCTGAGGAGTAAATATAAAAATAATATATTAGGGTTGTTTCTATTGATAGGAATGGGTAAAACTATATTGTAGATGACTCAAAAGTGTTTAAATTAGTCACTATATATAAGGTTTATGATAGTATTTCTACTTTTAAAACTGAAAACTTGTATTTACTTTATGGAATTTGGCCAATGGGCAACTATCTAAAAAGCTACTTTCAAGACATTTCTGACTTCATTTACAACTAATACAGCTCTTCTGCAAGCTCAAACACTTTAAAGATGAAACTTCACGAATTCTGGTATACATTACTTCATATTAGCTTTTTAAATCTAGTTGCATTTATCTATATAGATTAAGTACTTTTGTATTAAGAAACATTTCATTATGTATAGTAAGACATATCAAAAACACATTCAGATATTATTTGGGGGCAAGTTCATATTTGAAAAAAAAATCACCTGGCCTCTTTAAAAGGGGGATATTTTTTCTCTGGGAACCTAACAACTTAGTAGTGTCTTTAAACTCACTTGATTTATGACCAAACTGTAGCTAAGCAAAATTAATTGGACCACTTGCAAATAAAACAATAGAAAAATGTTTATTTCAAATGTCAAGCATTGCCAAGTAATTTTATATTAACACCAAATGTTAAAGAATAGGATACATTAAAGTTTTAATAACAATATTAAATTACAAGATTGGAATCTTCTCTTTGTTTTCTTCCCTTAGCATTTACATTTTTGGCTTTGAAAAATATGGAACTGATACCTAAAGCCTTTTTTTTTAATCACTTCCCACTCAGTTTGTTTTTTTGTCTTATCCGACCAATATGGAAGCAAATTTATTTAAAAGCCAGTTTGTTTGTGAAAATACCTAAAAATATTTTTTTTATTTTAAATGTTTTTTTTTCTTTTTCTTATAAAACATGTCACATCTTGATGCAGTTGATGTCAAGTGTGCTTAAGTCATTATGAATCAAGAGACTAACAATAGTGGCTGCAGAAACAGGTTTGTTGTCTGTACAAAGACTTCGGTTAAATTCTAGTACTTCCGTGTTAGCTGTGCATGTCCACCACGCTTCGTCTGTAATTCGAGTAGAAAAGGATGCTGTTTTTTGTTTTAATTTATCGTTCCTTACAATTCAAGATGAACTCCGCGTATTTAAGAATTCTTGACTGAAAGAAAAGTCTTCAAGATACGGGATGCCTCTCACCACTTTGACAATAAACACACAAGAAAACCATTGTGTAAGGCACTCAAAAGGTTCTTATCAATCAAGAGAGATCAGTCACACTGACATTCATTCCCATGCCAGGACTCACGTAAGGGACAGCATGCACTGCTTTTGGAAATTCTGGAGTCATAACACGTCCATTTTCTCCAGTACTTCCTGTAATTGACAGCCTTGCCTTGTTCCTCATGCCATCACTCAAGGTCATCTTAAATGAGAGAGGAGGGAAAGAAAGAAAAAAAAAATCATATGTTACGGTTTTCAAATGCATCCAGAGTAAAGGTGATGTTGTTTTTGAAAAGTTTACTTCTGTTTGAAAGCTTTTAGCAAATGAAAGCAAACAGTGCAAAG